ATTCCGAGAAGTTCTCATGGAAGTTTGAAGAATCTGGAGGGGTTTTAGAAACTTTCCGAATTCTGCCGTCCCTACACGGTGGACGTGGTCTGGTAAGGTGTAAGAGGAAGAAAGGAGCAGGTCCATAGGGAAAACCGAAGGACAAGGGGGAAGGGGTGGTGATCGACACTAAATTTCAAACGTAATGGTACCATGGTATTAGTGCCGCTGAGTCGGATAACAAATGGGATAGTTCAGAGCTTTTTGTCACATTTTCTTTCTGCATTTTATTGGGCGGCGTGAAAGGCACAAAGGGGGTTCATTCTGCCTTCCAAGAAGTGCAATTTTAACAAATGAAGTCCACTGCAAAGCATTCGTACTGACTAGAGCCTTTGTTCAAACAAAACGCACAGCACATCATGGTCAGGGAAGAGATGTTGTTATAGTGAGAGAATTTTTATAACAAGTACAACTGTGGTCCGTTTCGCTTCTCAGCTCAGGCACTACATTAAAAAAGGATAAAGCATTTGCCGTTGATCAATCCCGTTTTGGGATGCGGCACGCATTCTACTTCCATTTGTACATTCGTAGTGGCGTTTGAATGCGATGTGGCCTATACAATGACTTGCGGGGGCCAGCCGATGTACAAGTCAGTGTTTTTATCCTCCCAGACAAGTCTGGTACCAATTAACCGACCCCGGAGGGATGGAAGGCTTGGTTGGCCTGGGCGACTCACGACCCAGGATTTGATCCCCGGACCGCTCGCGTGGTAAGGTGCCACTTGCCATTACACCACTTCCGCCCACCACTAGACTTTATTATACATTTTTACATTTATTATATATTTTCACAAGAAAACGAAAATCAGACGAATACTGTCACGATCGGGAGTACAACCACAAATCATTTTCCTCGTATTTCTTCATAACTTCACGAATACTCAGAAGTGATGGTTTTTGTACACTACATGAAGTCCCCCATAAAATGTGCCAGAAAACTTCGGAGAAAAAGCATATTTTGAGCAACTTTCATGGTGAAGCAAGCAAAGACACCGTGTGTAACGAGATTTGCTGCAATCGTGCTCAAAAAGCAGTAACAAGGACAGTAATGACTGAGTTATGACAAGAATGGCCGATGTCAGAGTCTGCGATTGGAGCGATCGGTCAAATGCCAATCGCGCGACCATCGCGCGATTCGCGCGACGATCGCGCGATTGACATGAGTCCCATCATGACCAATCGCTCCAATCGCGCGATGGGCGCGATCACTCCCGTTGTGGCTGGTGCGCCCCTCTCGATCGATAGCTCAGTCAACGTATCGATCGAGAGGGGCGCGCCAGCCACAACGGGAGTGATCGCGCCCATCGCGCGATTGGAGCGATTGGTCATGATGGGACTCATGTCAATCGCGCGATCGTCGCGCGAATCGCGCGATGGTCGCGCGATTGGCATTTGACCGATCGCTCCAATCGCAGACTCTGACATCGGCCAATGCTGAAGTTATGAAGCGAAACTTTCGTAGACGTTCGAACCCGCATCTATCGCTTACAATTCCATTAATCATGTACTCTTCACATGTGTAAAACCAAATTTTAAATAAAAGAACAATAACAAAAATGTGAAAAACAAAAGTGCTCGCAAGTACTCAGGGAAGGCTAAATGTGTTTCAAGCAACCAAAGACCTTATTTAGAGTAATTTAGATAAGGAGGTACCGCTTTTTGAATTCAAGAAGGAAGAACCGGACAAATGTGCTACCAGTTACACTACCGGGACACCATTCGACGAACAATTGATGGCTGATCTTTGCTGATTACAAACTGGCTTCAGAAAATGTACTATTGAAAACGAAAAACGTGAAAACATGGGTGGAGAGAGCTAGAAATGAAGAAAAAAAGAGCTGCTACTCTCTCAAACAGACTTCAGCAGATGGGCGAGGCGTTTAAATTAGAGATTCGCACTCGCTTTCGGATCGCGCTGTTTGTAGTTTGTCTACAAATGCCGCTTCGAGATCTTATGCATGAAATTCGAGGGCTTTTCTCCTCACGAAGAGAGGATAACGCCGGCATCGTGATAATGCATTCAAAACTCAAGCTTCGAGCTACCACAGCCTCTTAAAGGTCTAATCCCAGGATAAAGTAAAATGGATACTAACCCAGGATTAAGAAAGTGGAGAGAAGCTTTAGCGCGAGAAAGGTAGAGGGAATGGCAAGCATACGGGCCACACCGACCACGCTGCACAAAACTGCCAGCGAAGGCGCCAAGGAATTGTTTTCACACGGGGTTCCACCCCTTGCACTCGTGGATCCGCCCGAATTGGCGTCATAGGCTATATTCGATCTCGCTCGCGTCCATGCTTTCTTCCCACCGATTCTTCTCTCTTTACTGGGCACTAGTATCCTCAACTCGCTTTTTCTTGAGTAACTGCTAACAGGCTGGAAAAGAGGGTCTCTATTTTAAGGGCTCTTGTGGTTTTCTCTCTTCTTTTTCTTCACCTCCGGTCCACTTCGCACCTCTGCTTTCATTTTTCGCTGAAATGCACACAACAGCAATGCAATCGTGGAGCGTTGTTATTCTTGATCTCCTCTAGGTTTTCTAGCTAACCGAGTAATTGTATCAACCACTCTTCACGTTCACAAATATGCGTAGTACAATAAAGTGATCGTATCCGTAAACATAAAACGTAAGAGAGAGGGATTAAAAAATATGCCACGTAATTGAAGGTCTCGCTGTATAGCTCACGGCTTAGTCACCGTGTTTTCGCATTGGGAAAACCAGGCAGTCAACAGATGTGAGAAGATGCACGATGCCAGAATAGAAAACCTATTGACTTTCCTTTCTCGCGTTTATGAGATCCGTAATTAATTGTATAAATGCGTCACATCCCTACCGTGTAGTGATACCACCACCCATGAAGATAATGAAGCGTGTTGGTGCGTGATATAGGACGAACACAGTGCGCACCGAAGGTTCGAGGTTAAAAGCAGCGAGTGCGGAAAGTGGAGCCCTATGCCTGCCCGTCCTCATATATACTGAACAGAGCAACAAAGATCGTAGAGAAGTGGTTAACGCATTTGATACTGATCCAAGATACATATTTTCTTCTCAAATGTGGCAATATTAAGAATTGACTTGGGGCAGATATTTCCATACCAAGGATGATGTCTCTTACTTCAGACTGCGTCAAGGACGCGACGTTACATTGTTCTTTTTACCGTAATCAGCCAAAGATCATGTCTTTGAGAGCCAACTCAACCTAAACATAGTAAAGACTGAACGACCACCTACACAACAATAATAGTTCACTTCAAGGTTGAAGCAATTATGCATGATAGCACTGTTGTACCGCAACAGGTTATGAGTAATCAAGCCTTTAATCCAAACCTTCCCCCCCCCCCCATTCATAATAGTGAATAGGCCAATGTGTGTAGGTCTCGTTATTGATTGGTTTCGTCCGGCTTCAAATCAACTGTAAGACATAGAATAATAATGTGGCAATCTAAATGAAACAAATCAGCTGATTAAGGAATGACTTCTGATCACCTTTGTTTTAAACAATCATCGCAAAAATCAAAACAAATAAAAATATAGAGAAATGCTGGTATAACTGAATAAGTCTGAAATCAACATTCACCGAAGAAGTGGCGTAAGAGATAAAGAAGTCGAACGGCCTTTTACGAAACAAAAACAAGTGAGAAGAGTTAAAATCAGTATATAAAAAAAATAAATATTACCTTTTACCAATCGTCAATAGATTGAAAAAACCATTTGAGGCATAAAGTTGCCTCAGAATCATTCCAAAAAAATACTATTCGACGTAACATATTACGATCAGAAACCTTGCGAACAGGAAATTCAAGTTAATAAGTGTTTCAGAAATCAATATAAAATCATAAATAGAAATGTGCATTCTATAGACAAAGCAGCTCTGTTCAATGAATGCTTACTCTCTACGAGATGTCTCAAGCAACCGAACAATGTTGTGAACGGCGCAGACTTGAGCCTCGATATTCAAACTTTCATCAGATAGAAACCAATGATATTATTTAATTGGTCACCGTTTACAGAGTCGAGAAACTTGAAGTTTATCAGCAGTTTAGGGAAGCTTTTCTCAAGCCAGTCGCATAGGTCCTCACAGATCCCAATTAAGACAGCTGATTTCACAACTTCACAGGCAAGCTTAGATTGTGCCCCGCATTAGCACCCTACACATGACATTTGACGTATTCGCCACCACTGCCATATGTGAAGTGAAAATTACAAATAAAGTTTAAGGGAATAGGCTGCGTAATCAGAGCAACACTGGGCAGAGGTTCGGTTGCTCGCGACGAACGAGGCGGCGGAGTCGGGAGGTAAGCAAACCAGCCCTTTTGGCGTTTCGGCTGGGACCGTATGCTGAATGTTGGGGAGGGGATGGGGTCCCCAACGGTCGACGGTTTACTTCAACTCGGTTGGTACGATAGGAGAGTACTGACGCAAGTGGTGCAGCTGGTCCAGCAGCTCCGCCAGAAGGGCTGGTTTGCTCACCCCAGGACTAAGCCTTGGAGAGGGGACGGACCCGTCCTCTCTTTAAGGCTTAGTTCTGAGGTAAGCACCAAATTGTGGCGGTTCTAAGGACCGAGTTGAAGTGGTCCGTCCACCGTCGGGGACTCCATCCCCTCCCCAACATTCAGCATACAGCCGAAGCGCCAAAAGGGCTGGTTTGCTTACGTCGCGCGCTGGTAGACGCGTAGTTGAGGTTACCGCACTAACACTGAACACATTTTCCTGCTGACGCCATTATGACAGCGAGGGGAAGAGGAAGACTCTGCGAGGGTGAAGCCCGCATCATTAGCTACAAGCACCGCCACCAAGCTTGTACCTGATCGTCACCTTCACTCTTTATGAAATAGAACCGATGATGGGCGTACGTGTTACAAAACCATGCCCATTGTTCATTAGCGGTTAACAAAAAAAAACTCCAAACCTTCATGATTGCTTGGAATGGCAACATCAACTCCGATCCCTTGATCACAATGTTTGGAAAATCGAGAAGATGAACCTGCAACGAAGATTATTTATTAAGGGAAAGCGGATTCCTGCTACACCTATATGAACCACTCACCTCAAGAGGATCAAGCATAGCCTTTCGAGTTACAATGATTTGACGAGGTTGTTCTTCAACCGGTAATGATCTGATCAGAGCAGCGACTTCCTCTGCAGTCTTCCACTTGGCAAGCTGGAATCATTTCCGAATAGTTTTGAAGACGAAAACATTGAAAAAAAGATGAGAGTATCAAGGTTGTTGAGCAAATTTGAGTTTGAGACGAAAATGGTCATTGCTGAGTAGTGATCTCATTGTCAGAATAACTTTTGCGTTCAGATGTCCGTCAGGCTCGGCGATTGTGAGAGCGACGGACAAGCGATGGGCTATCGCGATCGTCCATCGCTCGTCCGTCGACTGACTCCATTAGCGACTCTGTTCTATATTTATCGAAAGACAAGAAGAACAGGTGTGACGGAGAAGGCAGTTTAGCAATCTATCGAAAAAACGCAAAGCATGAAAATTCATCACCTGACTGAGACGTTTCTGGCCTGCCCACACAGAAGTATGAATAATCTTCAAGAACAGCTGCCCAGTGCGGGGATTGAAGATAAAAATGGCACCATTAATAGGTTTCGTCGTCAAGTTACCTTCGAATGTTTTGTGAATGGTCACACGATATACATTTGTGTCATCCACAAA